GTTTTGTTAATGAAGTCGAACTCGAAACCTAGATATGTATAGAAACTTGTAAACACTTCATTTTCAAGCTTTTTCATTTCTGTAAGTATACAATCACTTCCATGTTTCCGAAACAATTGTTTGCTGTCTGTCAGAATACAATGATTAATGTTGAATTTAACCAAAGATTTTTTTTTATTAATATCAATTGATCTGGACACTGTTTGGGACAATATTTTCAATTTTTTTTTATACTTTTCGTCGTCTGGACACGTCGCGTTATCATGCGGTATCACGAAATTGATGTATGTCTCCATATTTTTTATTTCATCTATATGCATTCTAATACCCTTCAAACCTTGCACTAATTCATTTTGCATTTTTTCCAATGGAGCCAATCCTATTAAATGGCGCAACGCTGTAGACATAAAATCTAACATTAAATTATGGATTTCCAACTGTTTCATCGCATTGTCGAACACTGTCTTGAAATGTATACAGTCAACCGAACACTTAACAACATTTGCAAGTTCTTCGTTTGTTAAATGCAAATCACGTTTTGCACACCTTCTTTTTAGTCTTTTACATGATTTATCCCTAAAATTTTTTTTTGCATTTCTGCATTTTGATATAACCAAGTTTAATAATTTTAAAAATGTTAACATCGCCTTTGTATACACACACCCTAACAAATGCACGATCATGTCATATTTCGCGTCCACGTTTTTGACATGGACAATGCGGTTTTCCAAGTTTATGTCGTATTCTTCGTTTAGATCCAAATCCAATGCGTACAAATCTTTTCCGGTAAACGATTTGATTTCATTAGCTGCATTCTGATATTTAGCTCTAACGTTAATGTCCATCCATCCCGGAAATTTAAGAAGACGGTCGAGTGTGTCAGCTAATTGTTGTTTTTGATCAGACGAAATAGCCGTTGCATTTACACATACAATTTGGAAAATCAATAAACCGATTGCCGATAAGCGATACATTTCAACAAAGCACTATGTTTAACCAAAACAAAACGTTCTGCGCGTAACCGTACTTGTATATTGTTATCCAAACGAAACTATAACACACGAAAAATAAACATCTGCCCTGACGTCAAACACTAAAACGCTTTGGAAGATATTTGTCGTAGTCAAGTGCTGTAATAAACACAGTACACGCCACTAAAAATGAAATAACCACTACATTATTTTGGTAGGCATGTGTAGGTAATGTGTTTGGGTAAAATATTAATATTTATGTAAACTTAAGTTTAACGGCCATACCCTGTAGCATAAAAGCAATACTTGATTTTACACACTGTACTAGATCTACTTTCAATACCCAAGTACAAAACTTCCCATACAAAATCGAATTAAAGAAATTTTTTCTAAAAAAAGTTGGCGATATTCGTTGATTATTTGACTGTAGGTGTATACCTAAAACAACTATTTCAAGTTTGAAATTTACTAAACTGGTAAAGCAAAATTGTATTTGCTTACTGAGGTAACCTATACAAATACGGTGTGTTAGGCTCAAAAAACACAAACGCACGAATACTGGATAAAAGCCGTACAAATGTCATGTACGTATACTTAAGCCTTTTTAGAAGACTATACCTATTTTAACGCAACATTACATCCCACAATTCTTTGTTCAGTAAATCAGTAAGCCTTTAAAAAAAGAGCGCTAAACAATCTTAGATTGCGGACGATGTGCAATTGTTCTAAAATTGTATTGTATATTATATATTTTTTTTGTGAGGTACATTTGTAATTTTTATGTTTTTTGACATAGTTTATCAGATTGTAAATGAATACAATATACTTCTGTAAATAACGTTGTAAAATAAATGTTGTCTAATCGTTGAATAGAGTGTTACTCGTTTTTCATCACCTCAAAGACTGCGGTTACCATAGTTACATTCCAAGTGTTATTTCTGATATATCCTTACACGAGTAGATATCACACATGAAAATGTTGACCTCAAGCCCATCCCCATCCGCATCTCCCTTTGTCCAACTTCAACTCCAACTCCAGCTCTAGCTCCAACTTGAACTTAGCTTAGCGTTGTCATACATTTGAAATAAAATAAAATAAAACAGAATTCGACGTTTTTGATTAAATTAATATCAATTTATATTACATTTTAGATACATAACAAACAAGTATTATGGAAAAGTAACTTCACCGAATCTGAATCATGCATTATTATTGTCAACGTCATTTTGAATATTATCTGGAGCTAAAATAGTAGTTTTGTTAATGAAGTCGAACTCGAAACCCAGATATGTATAGAAACTTGTAAACACTTCATTTTCAAGCTTTTTCATTTCTGTAAGTATAAAATCACTTCCATGTTTCCGAAACAATTGTTCGTTGTCGGTCGAAATACAATGATTAATGTTGAATTTAACCAAAGGTTTTTTATTAATCATACTAATTGATCTAGACACTGTTTGAGACAATATTTTCAGTTTTTTTTTATAAATTTCGTCGTCTGGACACGTCGTGTTATCATGCGGTACCACGAAATTGATATATGTGTCCATATTTTTTATTTCATCTATATGCATTCTAATACTCTTCAAACCTTGCACTAATTCATTTAGCATTTTTTCCAATGGAGCCAATCCTATTAAATGGCGCAACGCTGAGGACATAAAATCTAACATTAAATTATGGATTTCCAACTGTTCCATCGCATTGTCGAACACTGTCTTGAATTGTATATAGTCAACCGAACACTTAATAACATTTGCAAGTTCTTCATTTGTTAAATGCAAATCACGTTTTGCACATCTTCTTTTTAGCTTTCTACTTGTACTATACCTAACATTTTTTTTTGCCTTTCTGCATTTTGATATAACCAAGTTTAATAATTTTAAAAATGTTAACATCGCCTTTGTATACACACACCCTAACAAATGTACGATCATGTCATATTTCGCGTCCACGTTTTTGACATGGACAATGCGGTTTTCCAAGTTTATGTCGTATTCTTCGTTTAGATCCAAATCAGATGTGTACAAATCTTTTCCGGTAAACGATTTGATTTCATTAACTGCATTCTGATATTTAGCTCTAACGTTAATGTCCATCCATCCTGGAAATTTAAGAAGACGGTCGAGTGTGTCAGCTAATTGTTGTTTTTGATCAAATGAAGTAGCCGTTGCATTTACACATACAATTTGGAAAATCAACAAACCGATTGCCGATAAGAAATTCATTTCAATAAAACACAATGTTTAACCACACAAAACGTTCTGCGCGTAACCGTACTTGTATATTGTTATTCAACCGAATCAAACACTAAAACGTGTTGGGAGTTATTTGTTGTAGTCGGTTACTTTAACAAACACAGCCTACACTATTATAAATACATATATACATATATATATATATATAAACCAATAAACAAAAATGAAATAACTACTACATTATTTTGGTAAGTATGTGTAGGCAATGTGTTTGGGTAAAGTCTTAACATTTATGTAGACATAAGTCAAACGGCCATAGCCTATAATAACATATAATCAATACTTGATAGTATAGATTGTACTAGATCTTCTTACAAAACCCAAGCACTAAAGAGCCTATACAAAATCGAATTAAAGAAAATGGTTTTAAAAAAAGTTGGCGATGTTCGTTGCTTATTTGACAGACGGTATACATCTAAAACGATTATATCATGTTTTTAACTGTTTAACTGGTAAAGTCAAATTGCGAGTACATTTAAAATAGTTCTCTGATAAATTCAGATCCGAAAAAAACACAAACGCGTGAATACTGTGGAAAAGCCAGACAAACGTGATGGTGTGTGCTGAAAATAATTTTCTAATAATTCCAGTTTTAAAATACATAAATGACTATATACTAGAGAAAAGTCCACTAGACGTTATACATGTATTCTAATTCGTCGTTTGTCAATGTTGTGTTTAAACTGTTGAAATATATCACCTTCATCAACCCCATCACCGTCAATGTTGCCATGTCACACATCTGTACCAGGTATTTTATTATAAAAAGAAACATAATAAAAAAAAAAAAACAGGAGAATTAAAAGTAAGGCCAAAAGATCCGCACATCGAAAAAAACACACTTCTGAGATGAAAACAAAAAAATTATTTAACTTTAAATATTAATTAAATATATATATTATACACGTTATACAAACTAACGATTAATTTTAAGCACATACTAACATCATTATACAACCTTTAGTCTCGAGTCATATTAACAAATACCATTACTTATAAATTATATCATAATCTTGTATTTTTTTTTTTTTACAAAACATCCCAATTTTTACACACCTCATTACAAATAGTGCCCTATAGTTAACCTTAGCCACGTGGATATGACAAACAAATTGATGTCCGTACACTTTGTAATATTTATCGTAGGCATAGAAACAATTCAGTCGTATAAAACCCCATTTAAGAACAAGTGTTAGATTTTCAATCACATATAAGACACATACTTATGTTACTGTAACGCGATACACACATTGAAAAATTGCAAATTAACAATAATCAATGTTACGTTGACCGTTGTAATACCTGTCTGTATTTTGTTGTGTTTAAAATATAAAAAAAAAAATACATAATTTCCAGCAAACAGTTGAATTACTTCCGAATTTGTTAGGAACTTCCGAACTTGAACATAATATCTTTTAAACGTTTTATTATAAAAAAAAAAAAGTCTAATTATAATTATTTTGATTCGATAAACATATTTAACACGACTGTAATTTAGGTCGAGGAAGTAATTTATTTTCACAGTAAGTATATTTTATTTCTTTATAACAAATCAGCCAAAACACCGCTAAATAATAATTAACAATATTTTTTTTTTTACAAACGTGTGAACGAAACTAGTTAGTTTTTCCATTACATTATTAACACTATAATGGTATTAACACTTATTAATTGTGTATATTATGATAAGTACTACGAACAGTTATTAAATTAAATCGTTTTGTAAACAATATAAACCATTTAACATTTTATGTTAGGACTTAACAAAATAAATACTTATTGATTGTACAATTTTTAAACTTACATACTTAAGATGACTTTTTAATATGGCGGGAATTACATTATTTTAACTCACATAATAATATGGTTTTCATAGAAGACCATTGACTAATTATATCTATTAATTATATTTTGTTCATCAACTCGGGCAATATATAATAAAAAATAAAAATCCACTTGTGCAATATTTTATACATTCTTTTACAAAAACTGCATTTTAAATATGTAACACTAATAAAGGTTTTGGGGTAATTTTCTCCAGTGGACTCAATTAAAAAACATCTATATATTTATACATTATTTACCAGTGTATTAACATTTAGCTCAAAAACATAACAATATCAATGCTAACGGTAAGATAAAAATCGTATCTCCTTTTACAGCTGTTAAAGGAGTACATTATTTAAAACATAGACAAGATTGACGAGATGACTTACAGTTTCAATTAAAAACAAAATGGACTTTTAAATGCATGTTTGCTTAATAGCTACGAACATAAAACGCACAACGCGGTTATTGAGAATAATCAGATTTAAAATTAAAAAAATTTAAATATTTTTCCCTGGACGGATTTTGTAAAGGAGAATTATCGAGAGGGCTCGTTTGTAATAATAAAAAAAAATATCATTATAGTCTATAAATCACTAAATTATTTATACATTTTATATATTTATGCTATCATTACCTAATCTAATTTTATAACTTTAAATACTATCCGGTCATTTGAACGTCACAGTAAAATGTGTTGGCATTGTCCATTTCATACTTAAATATTAACTAATACCGAGGACTAATTTATTTCCTGTTCACATACCTAACACATGTTTTTAAATGAAATTATATTTTTAACATTCAACATAGATTTTTTTTAATGGAGGACTCCTCTGTCTTAAGCATGTCTACTGTGACGCCTTATTTCACACAATATAAAATAAACGTTACGCCTTGGAATAGATTATAAACAAATAATTAACTCCTACAGCATAGCAGAGCACATCAACGAATTAATTAATAATCCATATTATAACTTGTCAACAAATTATTACTTTTGTAGGGTTTGAAATTTAATTGTCCACCTTACAATGTGTGTTTAGCTGTTTTTCGATTGGTTTACATAAAAAGTAAAGATTAACGCGAAAAATATGATAACAAAGAAACTATTGGTTGGTTTTGTCGAACCGCTGGCCGCTCTCGTGTGAGCTGTAGATCCCGACAGTCTGACACGGTCGATTTCCGATCTCCATTTAATGTAATACTGAGGTGGCGTTTGAGTCATTGCTCTTAATCTGAAAGAAATCAGCCGAAAAATTACACGACAACAGTTACACTGATAAGAGATCATTGATAAAAGACGGCTAATAATATCTGCTGATAAGAGATCAACTATAACAGATAAGCGATAGTCTCTTATCACTAGTACCTTATCGGCTGTCTCTTATCAAAACTTGACATGACAAGTTGGAAACGTCAATTCCAAAAGTCCATACGAGCTGTATCTGTTTCGATGTAAGTAGCCCGCCAAGATTAAATAATATGTTTAATATCAAGATTAAACTAAGACAACGGTAGAGATAAGATTAAAATATTAAGTTTATCAAGATTAATATTAGTGTTAAAGATTTTCCGAATTTTTCGAGACAAAAATACAAATTAGACCCACACCGAATTCTTATCATAATACTAGACATTTAAATTGGTCTTACTGCACTCGGAAAAAGTACAAATAAAAACCCGATCTCGTTAATAATAACATTATGTTTGGCAAATACATACTTAATGACAACGATATTCATTTGCCACGGAAGTGTGTTGGTTAAATTCTTTTCTCTTGAGCAGAACGTGTACAATTCCGGACCGGCTCGATCGTCGGCCTTTTCCGAATATTCGTGAACGCTTATATTCCAAGCCGAGCATGGCCCTACAATGTACACAGTTGCAATTAAAAAAATATATATATATATAAATCCATAATACACATAGTAATAGGTATTATAACAAAACGCCAGTACAATGGAGTCTGAGAGTGATAGGTACGGTGAATTTTAAAAATGTTTCGCCTATTAAGTATTTATGTATTTAGACTTGTTCCAGAAGAGATATAAGAGGAATATCGTCGAGCTTGTAGAAAAATCATGTAAAAGTTTTCTAGTTAAATTGTGCAACAGAGCAGAGACGTTATAGAAGTGACAAAATGAAAATGAAATGCGTTGGGACGAGATAAGGATAATACATTATAATTCGGCAGCTGTTTACGGTTTGGCCAATGGAAAATCGTTTAAACCTAACAAGGTCGACGGTGGTGTACGAAGAGAATAATATGCAACAGACTTGTTTTACTTACGACTTTGCGAGCTGCCAATTTCTATGGTCAAGTGGCGTTCCACGTTGGAATCCAAGAGCCACGTGCAATCCTGATGGTAGTAAAAGTTAAGCGGACTCTCCCGGATTATCATGGGAGACTCGAGGATCCCAGTGTGTTGGTTTATCACCCGATAACCGCACACGGTGTCGTCTTTGTACGTGTACTCGGCCGTGTACTCGAAGCCTTTGCTCGACCAGCTGTACTTGGATATGGAATACACCAAGTTGATGGGCGACCACGACTTGACGGTCACCGGTAACCATTCGGCCTACAACAGCAGACACAGACAAAGATGAAAAAAAACCCTTATGAATAAATCAGTTTTTACTTTTTCTCTAGATTGACAAAAAAAAAATCGATTTAATAAGTTTTGTGGAATTTTCAGCACGTTTTGACATGCCACTATACTTTTTTCCGAGTATAGCACAGAGTTTATGTAGCACTTTTAGTATTATTTTTTGTGTGAAAATAGTACAGTCGAGTTGTGTGTAGGTACCTGAAAATCTCCGCAAATACAAGATAGAATGTCGCCTTTGGTGGACATGACAAAAAGCTGGTCGACGACCGACGTTGAATTTTTTACACAGCGACAACCGCCGTCTCCGCATTCGGTGTAACACAGGTCCGACGACAATTTGTTCAACGATATTATCTGGATGTAAAAAAAAACACAGTATTTAAAAATGTATAATCTCCGGAAATGTGCTATAATAACGTTTACTTTGACGCTGACGCTTTGGTTGGCGGCCGGGAAAAGATTTTGAGAGCACCTCATTTGCCCTTCGACGTTCCAAAACGTTTGTTCGGTGCCGGGTTGCTTTAATTTCCCTCTGGAAGAGCTGCTCAGTCCGTAATAGTTTACATCGCAGAGAGTTTCTGGTTGCAGTGTACCCTTTTCCAATTCTAAAACGAGAATTGATGGAATAGTGGGGGGGACAAAATAGCTACAGTCTACTCAAAGCAAAATCATTAAACATGGAACATTCTTTTAAGTCTGCCGGCTCTTGTTTTTTAATATTTGGCCCCAATCGGTGATTTTGGATAAATTTTACCATTCATTTTTAATTGTGCTCGTCTTTTATATTTCCATATCATTAATTGGCCAGGACATATTTTGTACGAATATATTATACAAAAAAGCAACCGCTAGATCGCGCCACTTATATATATATTTATACAAAAACAACCGCTAGATCGCGCCACTTTCGTGACGCTATTTTGTGTCGTTTTCGAGCTGGAGGGCCAAGGCTAAAGCATGTTCCACGCTAAAATAGGTAAAAGAGTTTATTATTGTTCAATTTTTACTGCGAACCGTTAAAGAAGTTGTAGGCTCCGTCCAGAAATTCGGCTTCTTCGTTTTGCGTTGCTGCCGTCGACCGTCGGACGAACAGCGTCATTTCCGATTCGGTCGAAACAAACATCTGTCTCTGCCGAAACCTGTTAAAAACAACCTTTATTAATATTTGACAGAGGGTACATCATAATGTAGTTGGCTTATTGGAGGAATTTGAAGGAGATGGAGTCGTCAAGGCGATAAGGGGAATCGATAATCCCCGGATAACTGATTGATGAATTGATTGTTAAGAGAATCAGTTGATAGCAAATAAATATCGAGAGATAATCAGCTGATCAGACATGTTCACGATCCAAATATTGCTGCTTGGAGATCAGACATTTACCTTTTGCCGTGAATACGTTTTCAGTTGATCATAATCTTAATAAATCATAATGTTTCCTACTGTAGATCTACAACGTTTTAGCTACAGACTATAGTATTATAGTCCAGGGTCTTAGCCAATCTGCCTCCTTATCGTTCATACTAATAATAAATTTAATGTGAATTGTGGACTTAATTGTGCTCAAGCACCCTTTCCTCTCCGATTATAAACCTATTCGCAAACTGAGTAAGAGATAAAGATGGCGATAATTTTTTCTTTTCACCTGCCGTCCGTGTCTCTGGCATGCTTCTCAATGGGACCGCACAGCTTTTTTGTCCTGTATTTAGTTTTCACGTCCGGACCGTCGTAGACCTCGATGAACGACTGACACGACGGATTTCTGAAGTCAAACAATATATTAATATTATAATAATAATAATAATTATAAGAAAAAAAAAAACGTTGTGAAGACGGGGATACTCACTTCAACACATAGTTGAACAAAGATAACTGCACAATTTCCGGCGTTTTCCCCACAAACCGAATGGTGCAGTTTGTTTTCCAATTTTGATTTCCCCTCAAATCAAAATGCCCGGATTTCGTGTCGGTCGATTTAATCGTCACTCGACACGGTTCGTCGTACTTGGAGTCTCCTGAGAAACAAACGTCGCCGAATTAACAAGTAGCATTTTTTTTTTATTATTCCCGGCATTGTACAGGGTGTGTGAGTGTGTGTATTAAATACACTGAACTCAATATGTCCACTAGTAGGAGACTAGTGACTGTTGTAAACGGTTATTTGTTTTGTCCATGATATTTATTGTTTTTTCTACGATTTAAGGTGGGTACTTTCTTTGACGAGCAAACCAAAAACGTCTTACTTGGCGTGGATACCGAGGGCGAAGACGGCACGACTGCTGGTGCTGGCACAGTGCTGGTGGGCGGTTTCGCCATGACGTCATCGATGAAGTCTATGGTGGACACGAAACCGGTGTAATCGTAAGGCGGAATGGCGGCTCCGGCCCTGCAGAGAAAACGGGAAAAAACATATTAGGTATACATGTCACGGTGAATGACAAACGAGATCGGTCAGTTGTATATTTTGCATTACCTAAACTCCAACAGAACGTTGGGACCCGGAAAAGTGTACTCTTTTTTGCTCTTGTCGCAAATCGTGGTCACCAGGGGGCTGTTCGAAGAAGGTCCCTGATAAACGTTTATGTAATGAGTACCGCAATTACTGGAAACGAACGATTAAAAAAAAAAAAAAAAATTACTTAAAAACCTAATACCATCAGACAGAAAAAAAAAAAAAATCAGAATACGATCAAATCCCGTTTGGAAAAAAGGTTAGGGACAGGTGCTGGGTAATGGCCTGTCATCCGGATAAAAGCTTTTCAGTCAGGGACGTCACACAATATTGCAATACACAGCACACGACGGGCTTACAACAAGTGGCACAGGGCAACCGCAATACCGTATAAATAACCGGACGGCATGACGTATAGCCTTACAGGAAGGATGTGTATGAGCTGTCTGTGGGTTTTTTATTCGTCAACGTCCGGGTCTACCCGGTCAATATTGCTATTTACTCGGGATCTTTACACAGTGGATACCGGTCACAATTATTGAGGCAGACAAGAGTATTATAAAATTCACGGTAAAATTTAAAAATTGTCAGTAAATGTTTTTCAGGGTATGGTTAAAGTTATAGTTGCAGAGGCCCATTAAAATATTTAACTATGTTTACAGTATCAATAGGATGAGTTCAAACTAAATCTGAATTTATGAATATCGGATAGAATAGCCTGTAGGAAGAAGCAGGAAATTAAAAGTCATAAATAATGGCTTATAATAATATGTTAGACCTATATAGAAGGCCTGATGAAAATTAATTAAATCGTCTAACATCACAACGGTACAAAACACAATCACATTATCAACAAAACGCTTCAATAGTTTATTTTCTTATTTTTTAACTATGCAGCATTGTCAACAAATAACTCAAGTCATCATTGAAAAGATTTTTTTCCTATTATGTAAACTGGAGTTGTCACAAACTTTGCAATCTGTTGGACTGATTATTTATTTACTTTTCTTGTACAAAATAATGGAATTGACGTTAGAATTCAATTACGTTTACTATTATCTTTTTGTACTTATCAGTTGGATAACCGGCTGAAATAAAAACTTACTTCTACCTTAAGTTAGGACTTTGTTAGTCGTTTCGTCGAAATTGTATTTCAATATTATAATCTAACACTTTGTAATTTTCGTTAAGTTTTGTTAAGCCATTCTTTGCCATTTCTTGAATTAAATTAACGCCTTACGGCACTCAAAAAGATTCGAGTTAAGTTTGTTTATTCATTTAATTTTACAACTTCGGCTCAAAACATTTATATATATATATATATATATATATATATTAAAGAATAATAAAGATTTTTAGTTTAAAACAATTGTAAATGTTTAGCTAATTCAATTTTCCATTGTTTGTTGAAATAATCAAAAAAATTCTTAAATTTTAGAATTTTATTTATACAAAAATTGGTTTTAAAATTATCTAAAAGAAGTATGCAATAATTAATAAAACCTAGGCGGTAAGTATACAATAGTCTATGAAACAGAATTGTGTAATATAAATAGGTGTAGAACCAAAGACATCGATGAATGGTCTGAAGAGAAAGCTCTAAAAAGTAGTGCCTTGAAACCAATAATGGGTCATATTTTAAACAGTGTACATGTGCGGTCTGTGACTCAGATCTTCAAAATTGTCAGGGCGATTTCTGTCATATCAATCACTACACGAAGACACATTTTTTTTGCTACACTCAGAATGTTGCTGTATATTCACTTATTCTACTTCACGTGACGACATATCATCCTAACGACACGGGTTTTCCCACAGTCAACATTTTATTATACATCTAGCTGGCGAAAATTCAATATAATATTCAACGTTTTTATGATTTACGACCGTTAAATCTTCCTGGCAAAAAAAAAAATCGTCTGATGGAAGATAACTGTGCACATAATATCATACTTGTTATTGCAGTGCAGAGGTTTGTGTAATATTTCTGGTGCGTTTTTGGTTCCGCCACCGTTTTCCGCGCACGGTTCCGGAACGAGAAACTCTTTTGCACGGATCGTTAATTTCTCGCTTCCGCCATTTCCGGTTTCTCGAGTAACGCGCCCTTGGGAAACCACGTAGTAACGGTTTTGATTTTGATTTTCTTTACTGTACAGCGCTATTAGGAGATTACAATAAACACAACTAAAAAAATATCCATCCGTGGAAGGACATTGGACATTCTTGGTCCTCCACACAATTCTGGTGTCCTATTTGTGCTAGGTTTCTTAATAGGTTTATAGAATTTTGGCATCGCTGGTCTCGTTTTCATTGCTAAGCCAACGTTTCCATCGATAAAAATGCTATTTTTTTTTTTTTTTGTAAACATCAATGAGAAATAAATTTTACTCGACTCGCCGCATAGGAATAAGTATATGAAATGAAGTCGTTCGTGGAATGGTTTTCTCTCATCCTGATCCTCGTCTTGTGGTAGAGCACGGTCGACCCCACTTTTGAAGAACCGTTTCCCAGTGGAACCCTTCGACTATATTATGTCGGATCGATGGCACTCCTCCATTTATTATAATATAAATAAGGCAAGTCGATCATTTCCCATTTACTTAACAATTGATTGCACTCGCCCTGTGTCCGTCGAACCGGAAAAACCCCCATCGAAGCCGGGAAATCTTCGAGTGCCAAAATTTATCCATAGTTTATATACGAAAGTTTTTTTTTTCTTAAAAGGGTGTTTGGTTAAAAATCCAGTAGTCGTCGTCAATTCAAATGAAATTAAATAAGTGCAATTGTCTCTCTTGTTTGAAACATTCGATTTGTTGTAAAAATATTAATCGGTTGGACTTGTAAAACTATAAATTCGCCATTTCAGAATGTCCATTCTTGTCCATCAAAACGTTTAATAGTTGTACACATATTTTTGGTGGTTTTTTTTTTTGCAAATGATAAACGACCACAGAGATTGCCAGTCGGGTTGAATACCATACGAGACGATTTCCCGTCCAGTTTGTATTATTATTGTTATTATCGCTATTACTATTCACGTCACGTTTCCTTCCTGGGATTTCAGTTGAGGTCCATCATTTAATATATACATCCAACCTACTTTGGTGTTCGGGCCGAGAAAATAAAATGTCCGTTCCCTAAGTAGCCTTCTAAGGTTTCCAGAAAGTGTCAGGTTTAATTAGCCGCCGGGAAAAAATAATTTCCCGTTTTCTTCTCTAAGAAGACCGGTGTGTTCCATTCCTTTTTGCTGGCACTTAAATTGTAAAACAAAAATAAGAAGCTTCTACTCTGCAGTTATGTTTAAATTTTGGTTAACTGTTATCACATTAAGACAAAATAATGTTTTTACTATAAAACAGTGGTGACATAATCCTAATTCAATATTGTTTAAATTAATGTAGGTCGCACCGAGATAAATTTCTTATAGAAATTTACATTTATACACTTTAGGCCAGTACACAAACCTATGTACCTGTTTAAGTAGGTATAATACCCGAGAAGAATGTAAATATTATAAAGTATGGATGTACTCACTTGAGCGGCATAGACAGTGCTAGAAATTGCAATCGCACCTTAGTGTGAACCGAACTGGTTGTAATATGATACTTGCAGTAGATGTTCGAACCATAAATTCCTGGGAATCCCGGACTGGCAAGCACGCACGAGTCTTTTTTGCACGAGAAATCTTGATACAGCCAATCGCAAGCTATCAATGAATAAAACAAAAATATGGATTATTATCAAAGGTATCGCATTTAATACGGTATCCACACGAGTGCCCGTTTAGAAGTTTCGGAAAAATTAAGAAAATAAAAATAAAAAAATGCAAAAAAAATTCTCCTTTGGCTCTTCCGAACCAAAACTATGCTCCAGACGACGTTTTTCGAGTCACACACTCGCCCGACCGTGTGACCGAAGGTTATTTAAAATTTGTTGATTTTATACACATAATTGTATTTTAATAAATACATATTGACGAGTATGGACTAATAAAAAATCGCAAAATCATTAGGTCGCTCAGTGTTTGTATTGAATGTACTTTTACTGCTAAAAATTGCACAATATTCTTCTGCTGAAACGAATCGACTAACGTCTTGCAGCTCCGTTTATCGAAGCGTGAAATTTTAGATCAAAGGCAAGTGGTATTCCCTTTTATTCGAGACATCACATATTATATTACATTAAAATCGCACGTTCGTAGCTGTATTCCAAGAAGACACAATGCAACAAAGTCGAAATTAATTTACCGCCAACTAATAGGAGATGCGATGAACCGTGACAAGTCTGTCGGCATCATAATGAATACAGCGAGGGTTTCTTGGTTTTGTCAAACTCGCGACCGTTAAAAAGTCACAGAAAAAAATAAAAATTAATTTAAAAAAACAAATTTAATACAATTTTCTCCTTCGGCTATTGATCTACAGCTAATTTCGCTGTAGTCAGTTATTCGCCCGACGGAATGACCAAAAGTTATACTTTAAAAACAGTTCCCCTCAGACAATTGGTCCATTGTGTTTTAGTATTAAAAAAATAAAAATGTACTAATATAACTTTATAAATCCAACTAAAACCTGTATAATTTAACAAGTACTGTTTGTATATACATATCATTATTATTTATTTGTAAATAATTGTAAATATTTAGTAGAACTGTAATTTAGTTGACTAATTGTGGTCATAAGAACCTAATATAGTTTTTGTGTTTAATTCGAAAATACTATTGAAAAGTGTTTGCTGATACCATGATACAGCCAACAAAAAATCAAATAAATTATGTTATTATATTACACTTAATTCGGTATACCCTTGAATGCCCGTAAAAACCATCATATCCGTTAAGAAGTCTCAAAAAAAGCGTTCTACAATAACTTCTCCAGACAATAATTTCATTGTACCAAACGATAGAAACGAGACTCCAATTCTCTTTATCGAAGCGAGAATATTTAGATCAAAGACAAGTCGTGTGCCCTTTATTCGGTACATCACATTTTATATATTAGGTATATGGAAATCTAGCTATATTCCATTAAAACAAAATGCAGTGAAATCGAAATTAGTTTATCGCAAATCTATATGAAACGGCGAACCGTAACAAGTCTGTTAAAATCATAAATTTGTATTTATGTACCTACCTAGGTTAATTAAATATTATACTTTAAATATACTTTGCAACCCCCAAAATTCAGTCCAACTTACGTCACTGTATGTCATAGTTATTTATTGGCTTTGTGGCGTTAAACTATTGTACCCGTTAAGAAGTCTCAAACATGATTAAGACTATTATATTATAGTTATTTATTGGCTTTTTCACACCAAATTATTATAACCCGTTTAGAAGTCTCGAAAAAAAAAAAATATATAAGTAAAAAAATGCAAAAAAAAAAAAATTCTCCCTCGGTTCTGTACCGCGCAACTTAGGCACTCTGATGGCTTCACTCGTCCGACCGAATGACCGAAGGTTATTTGTAATGTGTTGATTTTATGTTATTTAAACACATTATTGTATATTATAACTAATGCATATCTACTTATTATATGTAACATGGTTACCACCATGGTTACTGTGTAAGTTCGCGCGGTAACCTCTGGTAACCCTGTAAGCGGTGCATGCGGCAGGTGATTCTGCACCAAAACCGTTCGTTTCGTGTATGTATACTTCAATTTATCTTTTCTTGAACATTTGTAATTTTATAATAATAATGATTTATATCAATTACTATTTTAAGTTAGTAACAGTCTGTGTTAAAGTGTGAAATATTTGCAAGACTTATATATGTTTTTACACCGGTTTTTTTGGTTGTAAGAAGAAATACTTATCTCTCAAACAGGTATTAATTAATGTCGTATGCGTGTAGGTAAATAGCAGAACTTAGCGATCTCCAAATAATAAATAGTAAACCGTGATCTGAAGTCTTTTACATCATAATGCGTACACAGCCTACAGGTAGGTTACAATTTTTTCGGGTTTGCAACGTCGAACTCTTGTAGAACCCAATAAACATTCTCTTCAAACTAATTAAAAAAAAGTGAAAAAAAATGTCGAATGTCGCATATGTATGTATTTTACAAAACTCAGTGGTCTCCTAATAATACAAACAGTAAACCGTGATAATTCTCATACATCATGAACAATACAACTATTATGTTATAGTTATTTGTTGGCTTTGTAACGCCAAAAAATCATTCTACCCGTTGGAAAATCACAAAAACAATCTACAGTCATGGAGATAGTTCACTTTTACAATGAACATCGCAATATTGTAACTAAGACATATAATCGTTATCATAACTAACTAGTGTTTCATGAATTCTCACCGGTGTGCTCTATTCTTCTGCCTCCCTTCGGTCTGAACGCCAAACCATGGTTGTCCGTCAACGTTGTAAAACTGAAATACGCCAAAAACTGTGATCTGGATGTAGTTTCGTCGATCCTGTAAACCACGAATTATTGTAAGTATAAGTTTGGCTGTACCCACGACATGTTCTAAGCGCCACTGAACCGATTTCTTCGTGTGGCAATTCCACATGTCAGAAATCGCACCTGTAAGACACTTTATTGGGCCGACATTTAAAAAATTCACCTCTGCCACTTCAAAATCGTTAAAACACCCAGGAAACGTCTACATTTTTTAAATAATAGAATTATTTCCTAATTTCCAGGGAATAATCTTTAAACATACAGTATTACCGCTAAAAATTGTCAAACCAAACAAATGAGGCCCCAGATGCCAAACCGATTAACTCCAATTTTTTTGAAATTGCAAATAATAGCATGGTTGGATTAAAAGAGTGTGCATAATTTTCAGTGGCCAAGATAAATAACTGCATAGTTGAATTATTCACAACTAGAGTGCGCTAAGTACATTGGCAATTGTACTTACATACATTGTTTCAAATAACTATTATGGAGTTAATGGGTTTGGCATCTGAGCGCCTCCAATATCGCCTAGAACGGATAGACATTTTTTCTTGATTTCACTTTCCCAGCAAAGTTTTAGGGATTTAGGTCTGAAAATAGATCTAAAATGTGCCTATATAATATTTATTTATACGGTTTTTTCAAAAATCTCTAGTCAAACTTTGTTTTTTATTAAAGAAAACAAATAAATACTGTTTTTGGTTTAGACCACACTGGTTTGAACCCTTCTATTCACATCAGCTCTATATTTTCTATCGCAGTCAAATCGCACGGATGCTTTGTTCGTTCGACGGGCTCGTACAAAATATATACCTTTAGATATATTTATGTTAGCAAAACCTTAAAGCGATGTGTGCCGCGTTTTCTTATAAATGGACAACCGTTTAAAACCAGCGAATAAGGCATTGGGAAACGACGGTCAGGAGACGTGTGTGTGTGTGTGTGTGTGTGTGTGCACAGACCATTCGATAAATCGTTTCCGGTCTACGGGTTTTGAGAGTTTTTTGATAATAACCCCGGCGGATGAGGAAATAGGAAACGGGAAAAGGGCAAATCGAGGGGGGGGGGGGGGTGCTCGTGTGGTATATAGAAAATTAATGTCGGCGTCTGTCTGTCTGTCTGCCGGGCCGATCGTTGCTTTGGCTCGGCACCAGCAACGGAAATCGACCACCGCAAAAGTCCACATCAGCCCAAGAAAATCTGACCCGAATATGACTCTCTGTTTTCCTAATGTCGGTCTTGTGCCGTCCGAGGATCAATATTTATACACACACACCATATATGTACCTATGTATCGAGTTGGAACCGAATTTGTACAGATTTCCTCAATGGGAATCCGTATTGACGATAAGGAAATAATAAGTAATTTATTTACAATAATAGGAAATATACGAACGAATTCTTGTCGTTATTATTATTTCCCCAATCGCCCTGATAATTTAGCTTAACGGTTATTTAGACCACACATCATGGATGGATTAATTAAACAATATCAACGTCGTTTCAATTAAATATTGCAACATTATTATCACGTTGTAAATTCGATTAGCGCGTTATCTATTGACCTTATCGTAAATTAGATGCCGCCAATCGATTTCCTGCGAAATTGTCAACAGTGTTGCCAACTGAATTAAATAAAAATTCCACATCAGAGCTGTTGTTTATTAGGCGTAAAAATATTGTGCCTACGTTAGGACGAATAATTTTCAAGAGAGAAGAATCGAGTATATCAAAATTTTATTTTCTTATAAAAATAAATAAAGAGTATTTTCCAATTGTTAAATAGTTCAAATGTTGTTTATAATCAAACAGTTCAATTAGAATTTGTTTGAAACCAAAAATGCACTTATCACGTACAAAGCTGTTGAAAATTATTAAAATTAATTTCATAGCATTATTTATATATTTTTAAACAAAAGCAAGGGACAGCATAGTTACAACAAAACTTAGATTTTTTTTTTATTTGGAACTAATTCCAACTACATCTAGATTTTTGAATATTTTTCGCTGGTCTTAAAATTCCCTTTAAGCACACCTTTTACGTTAAATCACCTCCAAGGTTGTAAAAAACGTACAAAACAAAAATCAGAATTTTAAAACTTCTTTAAGTGTATAAAAAACTATTTCTGAATTCGTCAAAAGAATTAGAATACCAACGTCTAATGGAAGTATATTTTAGAACATTTTTTCTTAATGTGCAGTACAATTATTTAATAGTAATCAATTTAACTATAATAAATAACAGAAATGTCGTTCGTGGTTCAGGTCTAAAATGAAATTTTAGACCAATTTTAGACCATATTCATTCTACCAATTTTCGTTAAGAATACTTGAAACATAAGTCTATTATTTTTAGTGGCTTTAAACCTGCTCTATATCATTTATCACGTTTCTGCTAATCCAGAAACGTTTTCAGTATATTTTCACACAACAAGTAACTCGGTTTAAATTATTATTATTATTATTTTTTTTTATGATAAACAACGACGTTATTTTAATCGAAAAATGTCATTTAATTAAATATTTTCCATTCAATTGTGTAACGCGCTAAACGTTAATCTTGTACACCGAGGTAAACGCTTTTTATTCTTATGAAAATATAATCATCAGAGGCCCGGGGATTTAGTTAATTAAGAGGATGATTTAGTGCAAGACCATTGTTTCGGGCCGTGCCTCTTATCCTACCGTTTTAAAGAGCATTGAAACGAACTCATCTCTCTCATTAAGCAAACGCTTTCCGGAATTACATTATGCAGACACTTTTGGTTAGGTTAAGTTGTAATTTTTCTGAATAATCGACATTTCCAAGAGCTAATTCTATTTTCCCCGCAAACGACACTCGAGAGAGCTCGAATTTAAGTAACTCTACAGCTCTTATCTAAGACAGTGTTACTTTAATGCGACGTGAAGTTCATAAAAAAAGAAAAATATTAATTTTAATCCTTCATCGCTTATCTCAACCGTCAGCTGATTTTCTTATCAATAATTTCCTATCAGTTCTTATCTAGGAATTTTCGAATTTTCCTTATCATCTCGACCTGTCATTCCATTTATTTAATTTTTATCCACTTAACCGTTCAACGGAAACAAATCAATCTAGAAATACCGCCGGCAATATTATAAAATCAAATACTTTCAAGCAGAGATCAAAGATAGTACTTGACGAGTACCGAGTATGTATAAGTTCATCTCTGTTTACTTTTTGCGTTCCGTTAGCTAATGCGCCTTGGGCATCATTTATTTTTTCGCCTTTATGAACACACATAGCCGATGGAGCAAACCGACGAAAGGCCATTCAACCGAATATTTCACCCTCGAACATCCAAAAAAATATCTCATTTACAATCGAACCTGCAGAGTTTTTTTCCCCCCACTTTTATTGAATATATATTACAGTCAGTCGGACAGTTGAAACATATCCGTTTAAAGGATATGATTTGCTAGAATGTTTCCGGATGTTTATATCGATTCAACAACAATACAAATAAAACGTGCTAAAGTTTGTCTTGGCCATAATGTACATTCACAATACACGGTTGGTAGTACTGACAAAAGCGAGGAGACGGGGCATAAACGATTTTGAGAAAACTTATGACTCATAGTGTTGGTGGCAGGAAAAGGGAGAGATTTCAGAATTACGGACGAAGGTGCTTCCGTGCATTGTCTGGCAACGGGGGATGATCATTTGAACCATCGACCTATCAACTAATGGACTGTGCTTAGGTGGTGGTATTCACCCTTTTCGCTTAGAGCAGCGTTCAAACCGAACACACAATGTAAGAGATTGTGGAAGTAAAATTGGATCAATTGTTTATAGCGAATAATTTTCTGAAAATGTGTCAGGTTTTCTTGCCTCATTTTACTGGTTTTTTTCTCTCTAAAAATGTGTAATTCTTACCTAAAGTTCAGCAGGGCCGATTCGCGGTCAGCAAACATGACCACAGGAGGTGTCAACCGCTCGTTTTGGCCACATATCCGCGGACCGGTGCCTTGTCCGAAGGAGTCCATAAGCTCCAGATAGCCGGAAACGCAACTGAAAACAAGTAGACAAAGGTGAGAAAAGTCTATTAAGTCGAGCAAGTGTTGTTTATAAGATTCTGGACACACAACGGGTGGAGCTTCTGAAATCCAGATAAAAAAGTAAAAAGGTAGACACTGTTATTTATTTTTAGTATTTTTATATAATAAATGTACAACTAATATTCGTATATAATCATCAACATTTATTTCTTATCAACATAGAAATACAAAATTAATTAATTAAAAATATAAATAGCAAAACCATTTGTAAGAAAACAAGTAAATAGAACACAATAATGTAACAAGCAATGTATAAGTATTGGCATAAGTTCAGTTTAGCTTCAGTCGAATTATCTTTAAATATTGTATTTTTAGATATTTTGTTTTAAATTGGGTTTATATACTCAAAATATATAAAAGCTTTTCATTTGGTTTACTTAGGTAGTTATAATTATTTATGTATAATACTAATGTTTTTATTGGGTTGGACATTGTGGGAAAGTAGGTTGTGTAAGTCACAATTCATTTTTTTAATTTTATTTGAGAACCTAATATGTTGGACTCTTGTGTTTACTTTCAAAGCATTGTCTGTGAATTTATATCTGATTTGTTCAATTTAGTCTGATAAGTATAACGCGTAGCTGTTAGGTTTCCCAGTAAAATTATATTTGTACAAATTTATGATATTTATAAAGAATATTTGTCAATAAAGTGTACTTTTTTTTCTAAGTTATACTAGTTTTTTGAATTTTTAAGGAGACACTGAAAGAACCACAACCATATACAAGATACAGTTTTTCATTTTGCTTTCCAATAAATATATATATATTTTATTTTTTTACAAATCACTTGTATCCTTTTGGTTGTTGTCACTTTATAATAATTCCAACCGCCAAGTTCATACTAAAAACTAACGTTATCATGGTAGACATCGACGCAGACCGTATTGACAGTTTAATGGAATTTTCACTTACCTAACTGTCAGATGATCGTTTTACCCCTTGAACACGAGCTCTCTCGCTTCAACGACAGGGGACAACCACAAAATATAAGTATCTTTAATTTTTTATATAAAAAAAAATAGTTTGCAAACCATCCTATCGCTGTAAACGCCTCCTATACATTGTATAGGTACAATGTACAATGTCGTGCATCTTATCAGCCCCGTGCACTCCAAAAGGTATCATTGACAAAAACTGTCATGTAAAAAAAAAACGAATAATGTGAAATCAATTCAAATAACATTTAACAATAACAATTAATTTAATAAAACTAACTCAGCCGGCTTCACCAACTATTGTTAAACACACTCTTAACACAATGTTAGTTAATAATTCATTTAAATTTAACATCTGGTTAAATGAAATCACTTTCACCACGACATTATTATTGTTAAATTCTATTTGTTAAGTTAACAAAACGTTAGTTGGGTTACCAAAGCGGTTACCTCGATTCCAACGTTCTCATTGGTTATCAAGATATGTGATAACTGATAAGTGATTGTATTATTTAATTTGTCAGTTTGTTATTATTTGGCATTTTGTTTTACTTTCTTTTAACGTTTCGGTTTATACTTTATAAATCATTTTTTTAACACATTTTTTAGATAGTCTATACCTTTCTAAACATAGTTTGTCATCAAGATTATTAAAATAATTTATTCTATTTTGAAGGCCTAAAAAAGGTAGGTAGTGATAAAAATTATTTCCTTCATTATACACAGGACAGGCAAGACATACTAATATTATCTTAATTACAAAATACAGTAAATTATGATATTCAAACCTATAATGCAAGTCTGTGCCATTCCGTTTTGCCTAATCTACCTACATAAAATAACTTCTGCTTACCTAATAAACGGTTATCGAAGTAGTATTTTCTATTTTTCTCTAAATACTCAATGAAAAGGAGTTCCTCATTAAATGTGTAATTTTTTATTTTAATATATTACTAGTATACTCAGTCAACAAAAATTATAAAAAAATGTCTGAACTCCAATAATATAAATATTATATATAAGTACTACAGTACATTTTAACAAGCCGATTTCGGGTGATTAGCTTAAAAATTGTCTTAACAATGTGTTTAGGCTAACAAATCTCGATGAAACCCAATTTTCACTAATTAGTTGTTAAATATAATTAACAATAAGTAAAATTCATAACAAATGTTGGCGAAACCGGTTGATTATTCTTAAAATCAACTTTTTCTTAAACCGTCTATGATTATAATATATATCTGTATTATGCTCTCAATATATGATGGAAGTTTCGGTTTGAGATAGTTTGCAGACATTATAATTTGTAATTGATTCATAAGTTAATCGATACCAGCATCGAGTAAAAACATTTTTGCACTAAACTTCTCATATATATATATATATATATATATATATATATTTATAAGTTTTTGTGTCAAAACAGAAGCTATGATTTGGAAGTTTTTATTACTAAACTTTTATAATGACTTATAACTATTGGAGATTTGGTATTTTATATAAAAATTATTAAATAACTTTTGAAATATAACTTTTCGAAAACCGTTCATTGTTTCAAACCTCGTTTTAATTTTAATTTGTACCATAAGCGTTCTAACTGATGTATAATATTGCTAAACGCGCTTATTTGAATTGATGTAGATAACAAAATAACCATTTAGTCCTTAAAGAATAATTGAAGATATTTCATTGGGTTTCCGTCAATAGTGTATTTCTGGACGGTTTCTTAAAATGATTTCACATTTTTGGAGAGTATATATACTTGTTGGCTATTATAATAACAGCCACTAAATCGAGACAAACCCAAAGTATCGACTTAAGAGTGCAACAACGACAATAATAATTGAAAACATTAATTCGTTTTTCACACGTTTACATTAATATAAATAACAAATAGTTTGGAAACGGTAGAACGGGTTGATTTACAGATGCGTTTATATTTTTTTTCATAATTTTTTCACGTCTTATATATTTGTATAAATAACGTTGTGTTTTATCGCCAACGCAATTGCAAAGATCTTATATTCGCGAGAGACCTTTTTTTTCATCTTTTTTTTCCCCACAGTGTTTGCTATATATCTCATTCTAAGTCGAAACAATTTTCTCACCTCTCTCGTCCGTGTCGGCGTTCGCATTTATCATTGATAAATAATTCATAGTCCGAAAGTTATACACTCACCGCCCGCCTTTCTACTTTATCTGGTGCTGCTTTTACTGTTGTTGTCGCGCTCTTTGTGTTTGGATAAGCAAATCAGCTCGACTGGAGAGAAATAAATAATTAAGAAAACGCGGACGACAATAATTAAGTTTCCTCGAGATACCATTACAAACAAAGGCTTTTATTATATATACATCTGAAATGTATTCGGCTTCCGGCAAAATCAAAAAGCGAAAAAGCCGCGGTGTCGAAGAACTAAATTACTTTGACTTCGACGTCAAGCTGAATAGGAAAAAAATCTCACATGTATAAGTCATATTATAAGGTCATTTTATAGGTCAACAATGGCCAATGGAACAGATTTTATAACAGATTATTTTGGGGATTAGTTGAAAATGTTCCAGATGTGCCTTCTTTTCACTTATCTTCATCTTTTATCACCACTCCTTATCTCTTATTATATAACCGGGTGTTTTTGGAATATATTCACTATTCAGCACCAAATGTTCAGTAAATAAGATTAGTAGTAAACGAGTGTCATAAAGCATATTTATATGTTTCTCTTTGAAGATGAGGACATTTTTTAAATACACCTTTGAAAATGAGTTTGCTACTATTATTAGATAAACGATAAAATCTATTTTTTTTTTTACCAAATATCTTAATTAACCGATTATGATGATTTTGTCAAGATAAGTAACGTCTAGTTCACAACTTCCTTCTATGATCGCCTTGAAGTATGCAAAAAAAAAAAAGGCATTTGGGTTGAAACTAGTTCAAAAGCTTTCATCATTCAAAAAGAATAGTAGCGTTTTAAAATAATTTCTCCAGACTATGTACCGAACGATAGAAACGAGACTTCAATTCCGTTTATCGAAGCATGAATCTTTAGATCAAAGGCAAGTCGTATGCCCTATGTTGGGTACATCACATCTTGTATATTAGGTATATTGAAATCTAACCATATTTCATTAAAACAAAATGCAGCGAAATCGAAATTAGTTTATCGCAAATCTATATGAAACGGCGAACCGTAACAAGTCTGTTGAAATCACAAATTTGTATTTATGTACCTACCTAGGTAAATTAAATATTATAATTTAAATGTACTTTGCAACCCCCAAAATTTGGTCCAACTTAGGCCGCTGTACGTTATAGTTATTTATTGGCTTTTTCACACCAAACTATTATAAACCGTTTAGAAGTCTCGAAAAAAATTAAAAAGTAAAAAAATGCAAAAAAAAAAATTCTCCCTCAGTTCTGTACCGCGCAACTTAGGCACTAATGGCTTCACTCGTCCGACCGAATGACCGAGGGTTATTTGAAATTTGTTGATTTTATGTCATTTAAACACATAATTGTACTCTAATAAATACACATTGACGAGTATAGACTAATAAGAAACCTAAAAATTAGCATTAGGTCGTTCAGCTTTATACTGAATGTACATTTACTGTTAAAAATTGCACAATATTCTTCGGCTGAAACTAATCTTGACGAGAAACAAGACAAACCTCTTGCAGCTCCTTTTATCGAAGCGTGAAACTTTAGATCAAAGGCATGTGGTAATCCCTTTTATTCGGTACATCACATATTACATTAAATTAAAATCACACGTTCGTATCTGTATTCCAAGAAGACACAATGCAACAAAATCGAAATTAATTTACCGCCAACTAATAGGAGATGCGATGAACCGTGACAAGTCTGTCGACATCATAATGAATACAGCGAGAGTTTCTTGGTTTTGTCAAACTCGCAACCGTTAAAAAGTCCCAGAAAAAAATAACAGTTAATTTAAAAAAACAAATTGAATACAATTTTCTCCTTCGGCTATTGATCTACAGCTAATTTCACTGCAGTCAGTCATTCGACCGACGAAATTACCAAAAGTTATACTTTAAAAACAGTTCCCCTCAGACATTTGGTCCATTGTGTTTTAGTATTAAAAAAATAAAAATGTACTAATATGACTTTATAATTCCAGCTAAAACCTGTAAAATTTAACAAGTACTGTATGTATACACATATCGTTATTAATTAAATGTAAATAAGTGTAAGTATTTAGTAGAACTGCAATTTAGTTGACTAATAATTGTGGTCATAAGAACCTAATATAGTTTCTGGATTTAATTCGAAAATACTATTGAAAATTGTTTGCTGATACCAAGATACAGCCGGCAAAGAATCAAATAAATTATGTTATTATATTGCACTTAATACGGTATACCCTTGAAGGCCTGTAAAAACCCTCATATCCGTTAAAACGTTTCAAAAAACAATTGTAATTAATAAAAAGTGAAAAAAAAATCGTTCAATTACCTCGAAAATAGTAAGACTATTGGACTAACATGTTGAATAAGTTAACATTAAAGCTATGGAAAATATTTAAATAAATTTAAATCATCAAATGCAGAGGGGTAATTTTCTTGATTTACATTTTTTTATTTAGATTAATCTCATATACTTTTAAATTCGTATTTATGTACCTACCTAGGTTAATTAAACATTATACTGTAAATATACTTTTGCAACCCTCAAAATGCGGCCCAACTTAGGCCGCTGTATGTTATAGTTATTTATTGGCTTTGTGACGTTAAACTATTGTACCCGTTAAGAAGTCTCAAACACAATTAAGACTATTATTTTATAGTTATTTATTGGCTTTTTCACACCAAACTATTATAACCCGTTAAGAAGTCTCGAAAAAATTGAAAAAATAAAAGTAAAAAAATGCAAAAAAAAAAAATTCTCCCTCGGTTCTGTACCGCGCAACTTAGGCACTCTGATGGCTTCACTCGTCCGACCGAATGACCGAAGGTTATTTGAAACGTGTTGATTTTATGTTATTTACACACATTATTGTATTTTAATAAATACATATTGACGAGTATTGACTGATAAAAAATCTCAAAACCATAAGGTCGTTCAGTGTTTATACCAAATATACTTATTAGGCACAATATTGTACTGCTGAAACCAATCGTGACGAGAAAGAGAGAAGGTGTCATGTTGAGTGGAAGTTTCCTGTCAAACGTGTTCATAGTTTCTGTCTTTCATTTCGAAGATACTATTGAAAATGTTTGGCTTATACCATGATACAGCCAACAGAATTATATAAAAAAAAATCTATTATTATGTCGCATTTAATACGGTATACACTTGAGTAGCCGAATTGCCTATGCGATGCGCCGGCAATACGGGATGGTAATCAATACGGTGGATTTTGGCGTGAAATCGAACGAGTCTTACCAGTTACCGGGTATTATATGTACCAACACGGTTACCACTCTGGTTACTGTAAAAGTTCGCGCGGTAACCACTGGTAACCCTGTAATCGGCACGTGCGGCAGGCGACTCTGCACCAAAACCATTTGTTTTATATATGTTTATTTCGATTTATTCATTCTCGAACATTTGTTATTTTATAATAACAATAATAATGGCTTATATCAAATACTATTTTAAGTTAGTACTTAACCACTTCAGTGTTGTGTTCAAGTGTGAAATATGTGCAAGACTCGCATAGATTATTACACCGGTTCGTTTGCTCGTAAGAAGAAATACTTATCTCTTAAACAAATTATCATTTTTTTTTTTTTTTTGAATTTTTATTCCATACTAGAAACATTGAGATACGTACTCGGTAAGTTATAAATCGAAATTCCAAGTACCTGCGTACTTTTTATGGCTTACACAAAAGGTACCCCACGCCGTTAGTATAGAATTCAAACGCAATTTTTCTCGGAATCATATTGTTCATAACTCCCAGAAAGATAATAAACTGCGCCTTGGAACTTCGATGAAAAATATTAAACGGTATAACCCGTGGAGTCCGTCTCGAGTCCGCTCTGGCGTCACACGTGACAATGGTTCAGAAACACAGTATTGGATGTTCAAGTGTTTCTATCGTTATCACAGAAATGTATATGTAATAAACTAGATTGAAGAACTATTGATAAGAATTGAAGTCGACGTTGGTTTTTTTTGTGGGATTTATGTGTGTAAAAAATAATATATATATCTGTGATTCTGTTCTATCAACATAACTTGTAATTGTTATAAACAGTGATAACAGTTATACACGTGTGATAAGGTTCTAATCGCCACAATGGTGGCGAGAAATGGTAACTTCAAATATTTCTATTGGCGGCGTGTTGTACACTTAGCAATCTAGTTTATTATATACATATGTGATCGTTAAAGTGTTTGTGCTCATATTTTTAGATTACTTAAATTAAAAAAAAAAAGGTTGGCAACACTTCCGTGCAGACAGTTCTACTAACCCCAGAAAATTTAAAAAACTTAACGATGACTAGTGCTCAAGTTAAACTGGACGGGTTATTAATGTAAAATATTAAACTCTAGATTATAATTTTACCTGGATCCGTTGAAATGCCCGGTGTTGACTAATCTGTAGACTTGTAATTCCACGCGTCTGTTGTATCCGGGGTCCAGTGTGTACCAACATGACGCCGGGCCCGAAAGGGCGGGAGATTTAATTTGACCGAAAGTAGAATTCGAGCGGGCCAATAGCAGATCCGCTTTTATCGTGATGTTACACACTGAAAAAGACAAACAAACGACATATTTTATTAGTGAGTGTATTGAAAAAATATGCCCAAGTCCAAAAAATCTTATAGCTGCGGTGTGGAGCTGAGAAGATATTATATTTTTACATTGTTGTGAGATTTTTTTTTTGTTCAAGCCTAGCAGTTTGTAACCAGAGCCCAATTCGTTTTCTTTGTTTGGCACTGAGTTAGCCAACACCTTCGAAGCGCGCAGTCCCTTATCGATAAACCATATCTTATCGTCTGACTTTCACCGTTGTTATCAGCTAATCAATCATTATCAATTTTCATTATTAACTTTGTCGTGTCTGTTATCAGTCGATTTCTTTTTTCATTTTCTTGAAATGAAATTTCCCAACGTGATGGGATACTATTTTTAATTTGTTTACACCAAAAACATTTCTTGTTTAAAAATAAAACAATGATTATCAAAGTTATGCACATATGCATGCTACAATCAAAGAAATTGAAACAAAATAGAAACGTCTTCAAGGTAGGTACTACTAATGATTTTGACGGCAATTCGATACCACCGACTTTATTTCTAGCATCAAATTACACTGTTCGGTGCCTCGGTCAACTAAATCCGTAATGAATGACAACAAAAACCGTCTACGGGATAATTTTTGCACCGCTGTTAACAACAAGGCGGGTTTACACTGGGCGGAATTCAATGTTTACCCAACAACCGCAGCTGCGCTGTGGTAATACGAGTAATTCAATTTATCATATGTAAACAGACGGAAAAAACAACTCTAGTTACTTTCTATCGAAAGAGAACATAAATTAATTTATCTTCAACCCTATACGATTTTAATTGCAAAACCCTGCTCTCCTGAAATTGGATTGAAGTACCTAAATGGTAATAAAAACTCCTTGGTAGTCGGGATTTGTACATAGATAAAATCAGGATTCATTCAGGGATAAAATTACACAATATACAAAGGGTCTATAAGGGTGAATATTATGTTTTATGGCTGGTTCAAAATTTGCATGAAAATTATCAGAAAAATCAAAATCTTTCTCGTTGTTGACCTACAATAAGAGATAAGGAAGCGTGATAAGAGATAAGGAAAGAGATACCTCTTAAAGAGTGAGTAAGGTGGGTTAGGTTAGGTTTTTGATTCATGTGTTCCCTTTGAAAGAGGAGGATTTTTTTTTAAATATTTTATATTACTCCAGATTACACTTAAAGTTACATAATTAAAAACTGTTCTAACGAAAATTGATAGTTTACAAAATTATATTATTAAAGCATTTGTGTGAAGAAAGTGTGGACTGAAGTTTTAATAAATAATTTAAGCACACGGAGTTGCAATTAAAATCTAAGACAAGTCGAAAGAGGAATTAAAATATTTTTTAGTTAAAATAAACGCTGGCGCTGAAAATCGTTTTTCATGTCATCTAAATTGTTTAAAAAATGAAATGAAAGTTGTTCAGTAAATAATTATTGTCAGTTGAAATAAATTATAAATTTGTTAATTAACGTTTAAGTATTATAAGACTTTCAAGTTTGTTAAGAAGTCTCGAAAAAAATGAAAAAATAAAAGTAAAAAAATGCAAAAAAAAAAATTCTCCCTCGGTTCTGTACCGCGCAACTTAGGCACTCTGATGGCTTCACTCGTCCGACCGAATGACCGAAGGTTATTTGAATTGTGTTGATTTATGTTATTTAAACACATTATTGTACATTACTAACACGTATTTATTTATTTAAAATAGATTGTTTATAACCATGGTAACCACGGCCAAACTTCCCAAAGTTTCATGGCGATCGGATGAACGGTGTACTAATGCATAAAGGACAGACAAACATACAAACATTAATTTTTATACATATATACATAGATCATCATTTTTCACCGACAAATGTTCATTTTAAAATATAGTGATATAGATAACGATAGAGAATAACTTAAAGTAGATAACGGATACATGTTTAATAAACTTAGAGGCTAGATTATAAAATATATATTACGGTGGTCCTTAAAAAGTCGATTTTCGAATTTTAACCTCGAAGCCCTCTAAAAAGATTCTAAATACAATCAAAATAAAATCCAAAAAAATAAAAATTTGAAACATTTAAATTTTAAACAGTGCCCTACAAGGGTTAAAGTTTAAACGGGATTTAACATAGGATTTCGACACTTGTGTACAAATCAACGCATAACTTTTTTCCTATTCCTTGTTTTAAGGGTTTATTCCTTAGTTCTCCAATATTTCCCCAATTATTTTATCGGGTTGTCGTAAAAAGTAAGGTAGAAATATTGTTTGTCCATTATCACAAATTTTCTGAAACTATTATTCGATTGATTTATCATAATTATTTTTTCCTATTCTTTAGTTTGAACTAAAGTTTTGACGGTTTTATAGCTTGAAGTCTTCGAACACGAACGCCATACCCAAAAACACATACCTGTCAAAATTGCTGCCAGAAAAGGAAAATTTTTACAAAAAATTGTCGTTTGTGAGTACTTTTTTTGCTAATTTTCAAATAAGAGCGAACACAAATAGATGGATTATTTTACGTTGTATAATAAAGAATATAATTTAAAACTAGTTTTTTAATTTTAACTCAATGATACCCATGATACAGCCAACAAAGAAATGAAAAAAATTGTATTATTGTGTCGCATTTAATACTGTATACACTTGTATGACGCCGACAATGCGAGAATTTTTGAATACATTTTTTTATATTTTTGAATAAATTCCATACTGTAGATTTTGGCGCGAAATCGAACAAGTCTTACCAGTTACCGGGTAATATATGTACCAACATGGTTACCACTCTGGTTACTGTATAAGATCGTGCGGTAACCTCTAGTAACCATGTAATTGGTACGTTTCTTATCTTATGTATATTTAAATTTATCTATTCTCGAACATTTGTAAAATTTATACGAGTTATTTGTAAAATAGGTTTTTAATTTTATAATATTATCTGAAGCATTTTAAAATAAGTGTGGATTAATGTTTTAATAAATAATTATCGCCCACTGAATTTCAATTAAAACTGGGACAAGTCGAAAGAGGAATTAAAACTTTTTTCATTAAAAAAAAACATTTAATGACAATGACACCATAAAAGCTGGCGCTGAAAATCATCTTTCATGTCATCTAAATTGTATAAAAAAATAAATTATTGAACTAACGTATAAATTTGTTAATTAACGTTTAAGTATTAAAAAACTTTCTAATTTGTTTGAAATAATGACAAGGAAATAAAAATTAGTCAAAAAAATATTATCAAATATTACATTGTAAAGTAACCTTCCGTTATCACAAATTTACTGAAACTATTATTCGATTGATTTATCACAATTTTTTTTTTGTTACCTTGTAAGGTAATTCATATTAAACGTACAAGATTTTCATTTTTTATAATTTTTAAGGTTTTTAATGATCGAAAAAAAATCCATAGATAAAATCAATCTAGCCATGCACATCACATTACACGGTTATACCTTATTTTATATCGCTTTAAAGCACCTAACAATCCGTTTTACATGCACATATAATTTTTTTCCTAAGACTCATTTTTTAAGTCGGTAAGTATAATGTTTTTGTTTACATATAGTTTCTTCATCTGATCTACTAAAACCGCTAGGCCTAGAAAACATAACGGCGCGAGATTTCTCACAGGTTTCCAACACGGCCGTTCGCCTTGGCCTGTTGATATTTAATAGAGGATTGCGTTGTCCAAACGGTAATTAACTATGCGTTCCCATGGCAATTACGGGGATTATTGGAGTACTGGGAATTCGAGGAGTCTCGTTCCCATCAAACGCCGCCGTAGCAATCAATATAACTATTATTGCTGTTGTTTACATAATATTACAAACTGCTTTTTGGGGGGGCAAGCTCACTTCCCGGACCGAATCGGGCATTGCGCTAAGCACAGTGTACCGTGCTGAATATTGTGCAAAACCCTTTTGGACCCACGGCCAGTATTGTATACCATAATGACACAGAGACACCCAGAGCACGAAGGCTGTATATGTGTGTATATATATATATATATATTATATTTACACTATTATTTCGTGTATCCGACCACTCGACCGAACCACTTGAGCACTTGAAGCTGCGAGGAGCAACGGTGCATTAGAGGTGGCGAACCGGTGATGAAATCGTGGACGGAGAGGGAGTGAACGTTTCTTCTGTCGAGTACTTTCTGCGGCCTTTACCGACGACAATAACAATTGCACGTCTCGCACGGCGAACAAAGTAAGTAATGTAAGCAAAGGGCGGCCTTTGTACGCGGGGCCGGTCGACGGGATTAGATTTCAAGTCGCAGCCACTCTGAAACGTTTCCAAACTTACCGGCCGCACACCGCGCGATTACAAAGTGAACGGATATCAACTAGGTATTTTAAACAACTGGTAAAACGCTACCTAATTTGAATTTAAAAAAAAACCAACAACAACAAACATTACATTAATTCTAGCGCCAGTTTTTCTTACAACTCGAGAGACGATTACAAAAAAAATAACTAGCCGTGCCAATCTTTAAAGCGGTTAAAGTGGTGATAACGGAAACGTGCGTTATCAGTTTGCCATTGATTAGATCATGTATGATGATAAATTTAACACCTACTGCTGTTACCATAATATATTCGATAACCGGTATACTGGTAATAACCGGAATAACATAGAACAACGTTTGAGCAACACTCGTAAATTTAACACATGCTAATTTAACAAAGGTTAAAGTTTAAATAAACCACCAATAGAAAACGACAAGTTCAGTGCGACCGGGCATATATTGTGTTCAAAATAAAACAATACCTTTTAGTTTCTCTATCTGAGATAATTTGACGCGTTATTGATGTAAAAAATAATAAATAAAATATAACGAATAATAAATCCACTGAAATAAAAACAATTTAGCCTATGGTCAATATTTTCAAGTTTTCAGTGTTGCAGTGTTGTTTCAGGACTCAAAAACATATTTAGGAATAAGGTACAAAATAACACAAATATATTACTATATTATTACTCTTTAACTATGTTTTACCATAAATAAAATAAAATTTCTGTTTGAAAAGTGTCAGCACTTTGAATGTTTCTTTATCACCTTTTCTAGATCAAAAACTATTATATAATATAATACCCAACTCGGTTCACAAACATAGTCGTTATAGCTTTGACATCAGTCAAGTGTTGTTGACAAAGTAAACCGGATTTATCTGTAAGCACTAACGTTAATAACATAATATAATATGTTTCTATGAAAAATGATTTTAATTATGCACGTTACAGAAATGTATATTGTAATTATATGCTATGGAAATAAAAATAATATTAGAGATTATCTGTAGGTACTATAAAAAAAGGAAAATACCATATAAATTATTATTACACATTGCTACACCCCCAGATAATATTATTGTATGCAGTATTTCTCCCCGGCACAGTCATAAGTGTAGTTGTGTTTGTTTTACAAATTGTTATATTGAATATTAATTCCAAAACGACCCCCACGCCCTCCCTAAACAAATCCCCTGAATGTTTATTCGCTATTTCGGAAATCGCTTGTATAATTATTTTTTTCAAACACATTACAAGTGTTTTTTTGGTATTCAATTTACACACTACAAAAGACCGTTCGAAAATGGGGTTAGTTTCTAGTTAAATCTATCGACCAGTTTTTTTTTATTATTTCCAAACGACATTGGCGTTTGTTTTAAGTCCATATTCGATATTTTCATTTATATATTTATATATATAAGCTGACCGCTGTGCAATTATAATGCCAAAATAGTGTATTATGAAATCTTATTTTTTTTAAATCATATTTTTCTGATCTATTGTTAGAATAATGTGTTATGTTTTGTATGTACAATTAATGTATTTCTATATAAAGATTATTAATTTATTTTATAAAATAATATTGTTTTTTGTTAATTACTTGTAAAAACTATGAACTAAAAAAAAAAAAAAAATTTTTAAGTAACAGTATTCAAAACTTGTTTTTTTTTTAATTAATTTTTTTTTCTGATCTATTGTTAGAATAATGTGTTATGTAAGTATATCGGAATTCTTTGCAACTAAATGAGGAACAAGTGAATAATATTTTATACCCCTAAAAATAATATTTTAGGGTACTATTAAGGGTATATATATATATATATATCAATGTTTTCGCAAATTTTACATTCTAAGGCCTAAATTAGTTGAATAGTAGTTTTTTTTGTAAAAAAAAAAATTGGCTTATTCCTCTTTTTCTAATGATGATTTTGTATACGAGCAACATTTGTTTAAAACTTATATTTATACCTTAAAAAAATTAAAAAATTAAAAAAAAATTTTTTTTTGGAAAACTGATGCTCGCAACCTCTAAAAATAATTTTAAAAATCTGAAAAAAAAATAGGGAAATATTATTTTACCCCAAGGAACATTATGTCAAGAGAAGAACAAAAAAAAAAAACAAAAAACATTTTTTTTTTGTACACCCTAATACACAGTACTTAATAAACTAACTGCTCTTATGCCGTCATCTCGTATATTTTTACGGGTAGTATATTTTGGACGGACCATGCCTGTGTATAATAACGGTAAACAATAATCTATACTGTTAGTGTGTATACATACTGTTAGTGCAGTGTTGTTCCAGGCCGCATTGCGCACATCGGTTCGGCGCTAAAGCTCCGCATTGACATCCGCCTTGTGGTACACAACAAGCACAGTCCTGCCTGGCCGGCTCGTGATTGCATTGACAGCCATGCGACCCTTGTGTCCACAAGTCCACTTGATCTGAAACAGAAAAATTGCATTGTCTGTGTCAAAAAGAAACCCAAAAATCGAGCGCGTGCCATAATAAAATTTAGAACATTTTTCAATTGGCTAGGTTGAACTCATAGACACGGTACACAGGTCTACGGTACGCCAGTCACGTGAAATCATGATTTTCAAATTATGGAAACTTGTTTTTGTAAGCACATTTTGTACAGAAATTGACGTGTAGATTAAAATACCAAGACAATACATCCTTCTACCGTTCGTTCAATTATGTCATAACTTTAAATGTTTTAAGTAAAATGTATAACTAACTTTTTATATAAAAAGTACAGAAAAAAATAAAGATTTTTAATTTTGTTAAATTAAACTTTAAATATTATACATACAAAATGTTCTTCGTTTTGTTTTAATTTAAAAAAAAAACTACTAAAACTTAATATAATGCGAAAAAATGATTTTTTGCGTTTCTTTTGTACTTTTTCGCAGAATGGTTAATTATTAAAGTTGATTTTTATAAATGTCATTTAAGTCGAGCCGCACAAAAATGATACACTACATTTTTCAAGATGTTCGGATTTCCACACTGTTAGATGACAAGTGAAAACATATAAAAGGAATTTTCTTTTTTTAGGGAAAACTATGCCCTCTCCTTTGTAGTTGCTTCCAATTGCTTCCGTTTACTTAATAATTAATTAATAAATATAATACTTATGTGTTGAAATACTTTGAACAAAAAACTGCCACTATAGCGTTTGATTTTTTTTTTTTATATTTTCCACCTGTAATCCGAATTAGCCAGCTGAAATCATATGAAATCCTGTCGCTAATAATGTTAAATAAATGTTGTTCATTCACTGCCAATGAAGGTACCTTTTTTTAATTTTTTATTAAAGTCTAGATTGACCGTGTTTAATCCTTTCTCGTCGAATAAAAAGCTCCACGTAAAACGACCGTCTGGTAAAAAAGTACAGCAAAAAAAAAAGCAAGCCTAAGCCGAAGATTTCATTAGCGCTAAACACTTAAACCGGCGAGTTTAATTATTACTTCTGTTGGCTTCTGCTTTCATTTTTTTTTTTTTATTACTGAGAAATCTAAATCATTTGCGTGTAGTTCGTTAAAATTAAACGACTTAAGTTCAGACTTAACATTTCCACCGGTCGTCTCTGCACATTATGTATAATGTTTCAAGTAATTTGTTTGGTTCTGAATGCAAAGGAAAGAGGTATTGATTTAACAGTTTCTTTTGGCAATGGAACTTTCAGGAAAGTTTTTGCAGAGATAAATTAATTATATAAACACTGATTAAAGGCGTTTGCTTTTTTTAGAAAAAATTAATGCGTTTCTTTGAAATTTACTAAAAAAAAGCATTTTCTTTATTTTTTTGTGAGTTCATCAAACGATTAACTTGCGCGTGGCACGAGTACGATATTTTTAATGTTTCTCCGAAGAGAATAGAATGGATTTTGTTTTAATTTGAATTCAGAAGCTGGTCTTAAACAAATGTGTACTGCCAACAACAAACGGATGTTTCCTTTGTCGATTCCGTTAACGGGTTGTCCGTTATAATAATTAACTCACCATCATAAGACCCATTATACAGGTATAGCACTCTATACTGCTACTACTAAACCAAGTTCTTTAGTGTATAAATTACATCACTCGTGGGGCCTATTGCTCTCTTCTCGTTATTGCAAAAGGATTTACCCGTGTCAAAAGGATACATACAATTTGGTTTTTTTTTAATGAAATTGTCATTCCAAGACGTTTGGTAAAAGCATTTGTTACAAAAATAAGCCTATATTGTCCTTGGCGCATAACTGTACACGGCTATGATATTTAACTACACTTTGGTTCGAGGTAAGTGTTACACGATCTGATGTTACATTGTCAAGTCATATGTCAACGTCAAAAGTGTGTGCCTGACCGTTTTGTTGTGTACACACATACACTATTCGACTAAGTGATGAATAGCTTTTGCTTTTAAATCTCTAATCGGTTAGGTTATTACATAGATTCGTTCCGGATGAAATGCTGCGGATCGACTAGATCCACAACGGATCTGCGATAGACGTTAAAGCTAAAATTAAATGCACAATTGTTTTAGCGTTGAAACGGATTACAGATAAATATGTATTTGTATTTTTTTTTTAAATTATTTCTGACAATAAAACTCAGTTATTCAATTATTTCCATTGTTACTATACTCCAGACAGGCAAGTCATAATAATATTATCTAAATTACAAAACACAAAATAAATTATGCAAACCGGCCGTGTATCTTTTCAGGACTCTTAACACTCGCTTATCATATCTGTTATCAGCTAATTTATTCTTATCAACCTTATCAGCTGTTATCACATCTGTTGTCTGGTAGGGTTTTTTTTTTTTTTAAGATTTTGCGTGACGCGGATTTTTCTTTTACTCCCGTGGTAAAAATATTACATGTTAGAAAACTACAGGGTCTGTATTCGGTTTATTGTATTACATAATATGCCATTTTGACCTCGTTTGGATTAGATAGCTATTGTAGAGAACTCTACTGCGTACATAATCCCACTGAACATTGTCGTTCATGCCCGCTTTAACTGTCTGGTCTGCGTCTTGCCGTTTTGACAATTCGTTGGGTTGACAGCATATAGGGGAAGTATGCTAATAGCAAAGGGAAAATATGCGAACTACCCTTTGGCGGAGTTTAATTTCGCTTTTACTACCGTTTTTCCCCCCGCACAGATTTCTATATTGTGATCGTTGTCAACTACAACGACAAATCGTGGAATCGTTTATACGATGCTGCTATCAAAATACCGATCAGAAATCGTTCCACCCCCCTTTTACTCTGTTATGGTTAAACTCTCAAAACCACCGAATGTACTTTTAATTGAAAATGTTTTGATTGTGAATTTAAAGCAAGCACATTGATGTCGGATTAGTCACAAGACTGTAGGAATTACTCTCGTTTTAAAATGGAACCCACGGCTTCCGTTTTAAGCCGTGGGTTTTTTTAATTTCAAAGCATAAAGTTAATGAAATTTTAATTCATTCAAAACTAGATTTGCACCTGAAACGTCGTTGAGCCACCCAACGCTCAACTTCTTCTGGTTAAAAATTATTTGTTGGGCATTTCAATGCAGATTTGTAGGCTTTGTAGGCAAATTTCGGACATCTTCGAGTGGGTTTTTTTGCCACTTCCAATTATCTAATCTCCAAGCAAGGCGTGCCAAATGAATTACACATAAAACTGTTGCTAAAAACTACCGAGAAACGGCAAAAACGGCGTTCTTAGCGAAATTTATATTTATCGGTGCCTTTAAGCCGTTTTTCCCTCGCCTGTTATTATACAAAAACATTATGTTATTATTATTCCTCGAAACGGTGGCGGCGGTGGTTTTTGTTACACCATATTATAGTATAGTAAAAGAAAATATGTTTTTTTGATTTACGACTCAATAACGAATTCCCAAAGGGGTCGTAATCGGCTCGACGGGGTGGCATATGTGCGCAGGGCAATCCGATATTAAACTTAAAAGTATATGTACCTAGGTATAGAAGCCTAGGTGGAAATGGCGGCACGCGGATTTAAGAAAACGGATGTCGGCGATGACGTCAAAGGGGCTGGTAGTAACACTGTCGACGAAATCCCTTATTTTATTATATATATATATAGGAATACACCCTCACAAGTGCAATAAATTCGGATAGGTATGAAAAGGTCGAAAAACCGATCTGACCACGTATGTATATAATGTAATGTTATTTAGTATGTGTGCATTGTTGTACAGTGTAAAACCTTTGCTCCTCCATACAACAACATTGTCCATAACAACAGTATCGCCTGAAAATATTAAATTCTCGTTTTTTATTATCCGCTTAGACCGTTAACCGGGAAAACCCAACATCACACACCCGAACTTTGGCCATCGCCGGTTTTACAATGACAATAAAAAGTGGCACGGAGGCGCTAATAAGTTTGCCGGTAATACTTGGCAATATAATACGTTGCCGTCTTACACCTTTTTTACGGCTAGCCAAAGTCGTAAATCCAAGTTCAACGTCTTTGGACGGGCACACGAGACGATACTCCAAGCGATAAGACGACAAAAAGGATTTTCTTTGGAAAAACAATTTCCAAATCTTTCCCGTTGCATCATAAACAATAGGTAAACAACAGCTGATTCTCTTATCAGAAATATATTATCAGTTATCCAGCAAATAAAACAACATGGCTGTTGTTTATCAATGACGTCATCAAACGTTACTAACGCTGCGTCATTGTTTTAAACTATTTTTCTGACCTTAATATATGATATACAACTACGCAGAGACGAAGGTCTTATTAGGTCAATCGTGGATATCGAAAAAAACAATGGATAATGAATATTATGTTTTTACACTGTTCAATCTCTGGATAACTGATAAGAGATTATTGATAAGAGATCATTGTTGATAAGAATTCCGTATCCCCCGTTAATCATGTCAGGGAAAACTACTAGTTTACTACATTATTGTTATAAATAAATCAAACATATCAGATTTTGGGAGTTTAGGACCTTTAGAATAAAAACATATCAATTTTAACACCTATAATCAATTCTAAGTTGGTATGATTGTAGATTTACCTTCTTTGGACTTTTTGTGGCACTCTTTATACTTAAACAAATAATGATTTGGTAAAATTGGTAGAGTTCAGACAAAAACCAAAACAAAATGTAAATACAAACACTTATTCTAATCCTAAAAAAATATTATCGATTTGAACAAAATGTTCCGCTCTGTCAAATGGTACAATCAATTTTTTTAATATTCCAGTAAAAAACTGAGTGTTAATATTATTAGAAAATTAATTCATGTGCTTATTATTCTATTGTTATAAAATTGTTATGCAAATAGATAAAAGAAAAATATTATCTCAAAAGGAAGCTTACTAAAAGCTCTTATTGCGATCATAATGGAGTTTGACAATAAACATCTAATTGAAAAAGACCCGAGGGATTCGTTAAGTATAATTTATAATATAA